CTGTAATTTATTGCAGTCTTGCTCGCTAGATGCAAGTGAAAACAAGCTTATGTATCTTTATCAGTTTCGTATATTCACAATGATCGGCTTTCCCGATGCAAGTGAAAACAAGCTTGTGTATCTTCATCAGTGTCGTATATCAGTTCACAAGATCGGCTGTCCCGTTGGAAATCTCCTCTTCTCCCAGGGCCTCGTCTGATCTTCACTCTCATCTTGCGAGTCAGACTGTAATTTACTGCAGTCTTGCTCGCTATAGATGCAAGTGAAAACAAGCTTATCATATCTTCATCAGTGTCGTATATTCACAAGATCGGCTGTCCCGTTCGTAATCTCCAGCTCATCTCCGGGCCTCTTCACTCTCATCTTGCGAGTCASACTGTAMTTTATCGCAGTCTTGCTCGCTAGATGCAAGTGAAATGAAACTTAACTAATCTTCATCAGTGTCGCGTATATTCACAAAGATAGGCTGTCTCGTTGAAATTCTTCATCTCCGGGCTCATCTAATCTTCACCCTCATCTTCCGAGTCAGACTGTAATTTATCGCAGTCTGACTCGCTAGATGCAAGTGAAAATGAGAGCTTATGTATCTTTATCAGAACTTGTATATATTCACTATCGGCTTCACATAAAAAACTCCTCTGATCTTCACTCTGATCTTTTAAATCAGAATGTGAGTTATCGCAATCTGGCTGTCTGATGCAAGTGAAAATAAACTTCTATATCTTCATCAAAACTCGTACAGTCACTTGAACTGCAAAAAATGTGATCTTTGTGATGTAGCCTGCGCGCGGTAATTGGTTAGTACCCAGTCTTTACTCGGTACCCAACATGAAGGTCATCATTTGATATCTTCAAGTTATTCGAATTAAACATGGATTGACAAGGAATAAAACTAAAAAACGGCTGACATATATAACTAGCTATCTTATTAGTGAACGCAAAAAATGTCTAATTTGCCTGATGATAAGTTATCAGCTATGATCGCTTTACAGCCTTTTATTTTACTATCGTCCCGGGAATTCACATTAAAATATTTTGAAAAAAAAGAAAAAAAGAAAAAAAGAAAAAAAAAAAAAAAGAAAGAAAAAGAAAGCGTTATAATGCATTTATGAAATTAATATGAATATAATCAATAACTGTATCTCGCGTGGATGTTCCCACGTCTCCCGGCTAGACGACGGCTGGGCCCTGCAGGTGTGGAGGAAGTCATCATGTATTTTCGATGGGCTTCCTGTGGTGTCAAGAAGTTCAGTATATAAGATTTTTTCTTGTAAATTTTCATTTAGTTTGACTTTTAGAATTTTTGAAAGTTTTTTGTAAACGTTTTTGTTTTCAATACCTAGGTATTGTGAGCCATTTTCRATCCAGAATTGCAAACGTTTCACATGCACATCAGCTGTGAACAACAGGGTTTGCTGGTAATTGTTTTCTCCGCAAGCTAAAAAATATTTTGTTAGACCAAAAACATAAATATTATAAAAGAAATAAAATAAAATGAAATAAAAATAGAGTAATTTCGAGTGATATTTTTATGCGAATCAAACTCGAAAAGTCTTCAACGTCAACRCACCAGTCACGTGACTATTCGTCGGATCCAAGATGGCGTCTTTGAAGGACAAACTAGGCAGTAAACTTTCTATTGGGAATTACAACCTTGGAGCTACATTAGGAATAGGGACCTTTGGAAAAGTTAAATGTAAGTCATTTATTAAGCCTTAGCTGCAAGATTTTGTTAATTTGGGGCCCAATATTGGTTGCGTGTTGTAGTTTGAAGAGGCGAGTTTGCCAGTGAACCAGTGAACTCTGACTTGTGATGAAGACGAAACAAGCTTAAGATTTAGCTCCAATACATCAAGAAAAACTCAAAAATTCCTTTTAAGATGATTTCTTAGCAGTTCATAACAATTATTTCATATCCTTTTGTCCATATTTTTCGTATTTGTTCTGCATTTTTGGTGTTTTCTGCAGACAAATTTGAGCTTGAATAATTAAATTCTCGAGATGTCATCAACACTATTGTGGACACAAACAAGCAGAATGGTTGTAATAATACAGTCTAAGAAATTTTAAAATTCGTATTTTACACCGTTTGATTGCTTCTTTGCTACATATGTTTTTCAAAGAATAAAAGCTTAGATTATTACTACGGAAACTGCTTTTTCTCATATTTTATTTTTCGTTCGATCGTGTTTAAAATTAGTTAAGTAAATAAAACTTAAGCTTACAAGCTTTATAAGCTAAAATAAGATAAAATAGTTCCTTCAGCTGCAAGGCCGGTATCCCAGGAAGCAGATGGTGTGCACTTTATCCCCTCTCTCCATCAATCAGTGCTCTGTTTTAAGAGTATTCAAAGCAGAATCTACACAGATTAGAGAGAAGTTAAAAACAGACCTGGAGATCCTAGGAGGGTTGAACCATGGACCTCTAGCTCTGAAGGCTGCATGCCAACCAACTGAGCTACACCTGCTTCTCACGCAATGACCCCTTTCACAGTTCACTGTGCCATCTTGAAAGGTAGCTGTGCCTTAGCATCGAAGCGAGAGAAACGGTGAGCTTGCAATGATAGAGACCTTTTTCAACACCTTGGACAATTATTTAAATGTCTCTATCATTGCAAGCTCACCATTCGTATTGCTTCAATCCAAAGTCACTCCTACCTTTCAAGATGGTGCTGAGAACTGTGATGGGGACCATTGTTTTAGCTCCAGAAATTATCCATACCCTCTCTAATATATACCTGTATGAACTCTCTTCCATACAAACTCTTTAAACTTTGTTAAGTTATGGAATAACCTCCAACATTCCTTTAAATATGCATCAACTGTTTCACAATTCAAAAGTCTACTTTTTGAGCACTACAAAACTAAGCTTAGTACTTACAGTCCGCCATAGTGTGATGCTCATGTAATAGTTTATAAGTTTGTTCATATAAGTATTCTTAAGTTTTAGGCCCGGGTCAGGCACCATGCTTCACGGCAGGTTAAACCGAAAAACATTATTTTTGGGACTGTACGTTCCGCTTTGGGTTCGGCTCATGTGGGGTGCGGCGTTTTACCTGGGCCTTAAGCAGACATATTTTATATTTTCTTAATTAACGTAAGGAGTTGAATTTCAATTGGGGCTATCGCCCTGTTTTCTTCTCCGGCCGACCTTAGCTTTGTATGTTGTGTATTTTGATTGTATTATGTCTGTGGCAAATTCTAATAAACTAAACTAAACTAAACTAATTTTGTTCTTTCTCTTTAGCTTTTCTTTTCTCTTTCCCTTTAACCTTAGCACCCCTCTAAAATTCCTAATTGCTCCATGGGATAATTTCTGGAAAGTTACAAATTACACTAATTTACAGGCTGATTATTTAGATTTGCTTTCTTAACAGTGGCTGAACACCAGCTGACAGGACACAAGGTTGCTATCAAGATATTAAACAGGAATAAGATCAAAACCTTGGATGTCGTAGGAAAAATTAGACGAGAAATTCAAAACCTGAAGTTGTTTAGACATCCTCATGTTATTAAACTGTACGTAATATTTGATTATTTTTGATTTCATAAGTTTAGAAATATAGTAGTATCTTTGTATATTGTGTGCAGTGATCGCACAGGAAGTGACGAAAGGATGCATGCTTACAGCTATTGACTCTCTTCACACTTTTTGAGGTGCTAATTTTGACACTACATAACTTTGGTGGCCAATTTGAATGACTATCTTTCTGCACTGACTATTTATCTATTTATCTATTTATCT